TGCCGACAAACCTGGGATATATAGATGAATATAGATGAAGCCAACATTAAAACTCAAGACACGATTACTTGCAGAAGATTTCAGGGCATCTGTCAACTTGAAAAACACCTACCCGTAGAAAACTGACCCCAGAAAATTCACCCCTCGCTCACTCACAAACCCACCCACCTACCCACTCGCTCACTCACAAACCCACCCACCTACCCACTCACTCACTCACAAACCCACTCGCTCACACACTCACAAACACAAACCCATCGCTCACTCACAAACCCACCAACCTACCCACTCACTCATAAAACCCACCTACCCACTCACTCACTCACAAACCCACCCACCCACCTACCCACTCACTCACTCACAAACCCACCCACCCACTCACAAACCCACCCATCCACCTACCTACCCACTCACTCACTCACAAACCCACCTACCCACTCACAAACCCACCCACCAACTCACTCACAAACACAAACACACTCTCTCACTCACAAACCCACCCACCCACCTACCTACCCACTCACTCACAAACACAAACACACTCTCTCACTCATAAACCCACTCACCCACCTACCTACCCACTCACTCACAAACCCACCCACCTACCTACCCACTCACTCACAAACCCACCCACCCACCTACCCACTCACTCACTCACAAACCCACCCACCCACCTACCCACTCACTCACTCACAAACCCATCCACCCACCTACCCACTCACTCACAAACCCATCCACCCACCTACCCACCCACTCACTCACAAACCAATCCACCCACCCACCCACTCACTCACTAACAAACCCATCCACCCACCTACCCACCCACTCACTCACAAACCAATCAACCCACCTACCCACTCACTCACTAACAATCCCACCCATCCACCTACCCACTCACTCACTCACAAACCCATCCACCCACCTACCCACTCACTCACTAACAATCCCACCCATCCACCTACCCACCCACTCACTCACAAACCCATCCACCCACCTACCCACTCACTCACTAACAATCCCACCCATCCACCTACCCACTCACTCACTCACAAACCCATCCACCCACCTACCCACTCACTCACTAACAAACCCATCCACCCACCTACCCACCCACTCACTCACAAACCCATCCACCCACCTACCCACTCACTCACTAACAATCCCACCCATCCACCTACCCACTCACTCACTCTCAAACCTACCCACCCAACTACCCACTCACTCACAAACCCATCCACTTACCCACTGACTCACTCACTCACAAACCCACCCACCCACCCACCTACCCACTCACTCACTCACTCATGCTTCAAGTCATTCCATTCAGAGTCTGACTCTATAAGGTTGGACGCCAAACCATAAATAAGGTCAGCTGGGTGACAGAAATCGCCTGTCTTGGGAGAGGTGGTGTTTCATCAATTATGAAATGTATCTGCGTGTGCTGTAACAAGACTAGTGTTTCTTCCACCAGTGTACAATGATAAACCCTGGGTGGAACTGGTCCACAGCGTCCACGACCTTGGCAGTATCTAGGAAAGGTCACAGTGTTGACCTTGACTACAGACACTAAGCCAGCTCCCTATTGTCCAAGCAGGCAGTGTGATCTTCATGGCTATCAGCCTAACAAAGCCCAGATGTCATGTCCACGCCAGGTCCAGCCTTGTACAGCATGGCTCCTTGACAAACATACAGTCTCCGAAATAAATAAAGTATGACGTTAAACGAGAATAAAAAATGATCCGTCAAGTATCAGGAACTCTGATGTCTCCTAATTTCGGGCGCTGAAAAGGGGATGAGTACCGGCTGCTGGGGGTGGCAAGTGGATGAGAATAGGCTGCTGGAGCTGAGGATGGAATTGGGGCAATTGTTTTATTAACTATACACACTTGTGTCTGGAAAAGTAACAAAATCATGCATGTTTGTTGTCATCAGAATGTCTAGGAACAAGTGAGTGAGTGAGTGAGTGAGTGAGTGAGTGAGTGAGTGAGTGAGTGAGTGAGTGAGTGAGTGAGTGAGTGAGTGAGTGAGTGAGTGAGTGAGTGAGTGAGTGAGTATGGTTTTACGCCACTTTTAGCAATATTCCAGCAATATCACGGTGGGGGACACAAGAAATGGGCTCTATTCCGGGAATCAAACCCGGGTCTTTGGCGTGACGAGCGAGAGCTTTAACCACTAGGCTACCAGACTGGCCCCTAGGGTAATGAGATCATTATTCTTTGGTCCATTTCTTCCCCAAGTGAGCAAATGAACATTTGCTTTTTTTGTCAATGACAAAATTGATTCTTGAGTGAGTGAGTATGCATTTTTGTCACCAATATTCCAGTGACATGATGGTAGCACATAGGGAACACCAGGACAGGCCTTCACACAGCAATGCTGGGAATCAAACCAAATGGAAAGTGGGACAAGCAAGAACTTTATCTGCTAGGCTACTTCATGGCGTCCCATTGATACACATCGTATGTGTGTACCTCCCAATGATACACATCGTATGTGTGTACCTCCCATTGATACACATTGTATGTGTGTACCTGCCAATGATACACATCGTATGTGTGTACCTCCCATTGATACACATTGTATGTGTGTACCTGCCAATGATACACATCGTATGTGTGTACCTCCCTTTGATACACATTGTATGTGTGTACCTGCCAATGATACACATCGTATGTGTGTACCTCCCAATGATACCTCCCAATGATACACATCGTATGTGTGTACCTCCCAATGATACCTCCCATTGATACACATTGTATGTGTGTACCTGCCAATGATACACATCATATGTGTGTACCTCCCAATGATACCTCCCATTGATACACATCGTATGTGTGTACCTCCCAATGATACCTCCCAATGATACACATTGTATGTGTGTACCTGCCAATGATACACATCGTATGTGTGTACCTCCCATCGATACACATTGTATGTGTGTACCTCCCAATGATACACAACGTATGTGTGTACCTCCCAATGATACACATCGTATGTGTGTACCTCCCAATGATACACATCGTATGTGTGTACCTCCCAATGATACACATCGTATGTGTGTACCTCCCATTGATACACATTGTATGTGTGTACCTCCCAATGATACACATCGTATGTGTGTACCTCCCAATGATACCTCCCAATGATACACATTGTATGTGTGTACCTCCCAATGCTACACATCGTATGTCAGCGAGCCTGACCACCTCTTACGACAAGCATAGTCGCCTCTTACGACAAGCAGAGTCGCCTGTTACGAGAAGCATAGTCGCCTCTTATGGCAAGCATTGGTTGCTGAAGACATATTCTACCCTGGATCTTCATGGGTCTACCGAGGTCAAAATCTGATACATGTGGTTAAAATTACCAAGCTAAAAACAAACATCACATTCCTAAATACAAGATCAAATGCCCTGACACTTTGTCCTCAGAATCCGAGAAGACAAATAACCATAAACATAACGGGCATTTCCATAAATATCCACTATCTATCCACATAAGTTTTAAACGACAGCAAAGTTAATTGAAATCACTTGAAGCCATTTCTTAAACATGCATCACATGTGCAAAATCACGTACCGATCTGGCTAAAGGTCCAATCGACCGACCCAATCTCCTCGGCTAACCTCTTCCAGGCACGATGTCCCACCTTCGTAGGGACGTCCCGTTAAGGGTTCATGTAACCGATGATGTCATTGGCTAACGAAGCCCTTCCTTTATGTTTCTCTCATGTCCTGTCTGGCTTGTTTGACCCCGCCTCCATTAATAATCAAATTTCCTCATTAAATCGGGATTTTATGAGATATGCAAGTGTCTTTAATTAACGAATCGTGGTCTCGTTAGCTTCAACCATCTTGTTATCCTGGCAGAGAGACGAGCGAATTCACAAACTAATTAGATGCTTAAAGGTGTAACTTCACCTCCGTCTACATAAACTGGCAGTATTTAGTCCGGAGGGAAACACAGCCCAGAACGTTAGCGGGGCTGGGAAGGGGTGCGGATATGGAGATAAGATTTCCTGCCTGTCAACAATCCTTATGTTGAGAACAAAACTATGTGGATTGTGTGAGATGCCATATTTCTTTGCCAATAAGTTGACTTACTGAATCTGATGTAACAATAGCCAGAGATGGCTGGGAGAGACTGACACCTCCAACAAATTAACAGACCAAAAATACAGACAGATTTAGTGTTTATGCCTACGCATGTACCGGGTACATACATGTATACTATTTTCAGATTCTTTCATTTTTTTATTTTTTTATTTTATAGACATAATACAGGAGTAAACCAATGTTACAGATGGGTTCATGGTTTTCATTTTGAAAAATAGACTCACCATAGCATGCTTGGTATAAGGTACCAATATACCAATATACAAACTACCATCTGATCTTAAGCTATCGCCATCGCTTTCATCCTTTAAGGCTCATCTGAAAACACACCTTTTCACACAACACTATCAACTCGACTCCCCCTTTCATTAGCATTATTTGCTAAAACTATGTAGCGCCATGAGCATTAACTTGGTGAATGGAATCTGGCGCAGTATAAATGGACTTATTATTATTATTATTATTACAGTCTTTTCTAATTTCTTCACAAATACTGCAAACAAATAACCCATGCAATTCATCTGCAATATTCAACATAGGAATGACCCCTTGATTTGCAATATGGACTTAATCTTGCATTATATTCAATTCCAGTGTATCTACCAGTTTCAACTGCAATATCATAATTACTACATCGGAACTTAGAGACAATTCTTAAATCTGTTGGAATGATTCATAGACTAACACCTAGTCTTTGAAATGAAAACATCTTACAGAAAAAAATATTGTTAAATCATCATACTAAAATTAATAAAGAGACTCTCTTCAATTTCAGACCTGCAGTAATCTAGACTTGCTGCTATTATAGACTTGCATGGGCTGTCTTGGATATATTTGCTTCAGGTTTCCCGAGTTTCCAATTTTCATTTCACCTCTCAACATAAAATGCCCCCTCCCAATCTAGCCTTGGCTGCTTTCTTGAGTGAGTGGGGGGTGGTTCACACATCTATCAGCAATATTCCAGCAATATCATGGCACGGGACGCCAGATATTTTCTTCACACATTGTACCTGTGTGTAGAATCAAACCCAGGCCTTCAGCATGAGAAGTGATTGCATTAATCACAAGGATACCCCGCCACCCTACATAGTGCTTGCTATTATAAGGATTAGCTTTTACAAACTTAAATAACTTCTTCCTCCAACATATACTACTCAAAAGAAGTTAAGGACCACCCGATTCTTTCACATTACTGTAGTAAATCTGCCATGGCATCACAGAATAACCATAGTCATATGAAAGAACCCGGTTTTCCTTAACTTCTTTTGAGTAGTACAGAAGTGAGTGAATTAGAGGTTAACTTAGTCCACTCTTTCAGCCACTATGAGGTCTTGGTGGGGAGCACAAAGAATGGACTTGACACATTGTACCCTGAAACTCATCAGATGCTGTGATTTTTGTAAGGCTCGTACATGGTGAACGTATTGGGAGAATTTTACAAATATATTCCTAGAAGTTCCTTAAACTCACACGATGCAATCACATCTCTGCATACAAAATCTTAATATCTTGAGTAAGTAATTAAGTGCCTTAGCGACAATTGTCTTAAAACATTTTTCAGGTGAACAATTGACTTGTCTTTGCATGTGTTTGTGACAGGTGCCATTCATGGGCGGGATACATTCACCTTTTTTTCAAAACACATATCATACATATTTGATAGTGTTTCATAAACACATGCTAATGACACAGTCCATACTGTACAATGGAGTGCTTATAGCTGAGATTTCTTTTGAAAATGAAATGGATTTTGTGGCCTATATTTATTGACATTAAGTCATCTGGTTGAAACCCGGATACTTGCATGGACCATCTCCGCCAGAAAATCAAAGCCTTAGCAAAGCACACAACCATGAAACTAAATATTATCAAAAATCAGACAACAAAAGTCATTTTTCACATTTCAGCCATTTTTATGACGCCATCTCCAACAGGTGATTCTTCCATCTTCCAACAGGGAAGTGTAACATATCTCCCAGGATTCCAAACAGCTGCATGTCAAATACTATTTGCCTGAGGAGTACTTGAAGGATAGCCTAGACCCTTGAAAGGCCAAAGCCTTCAGCTTGCTTTAGTAAAGCGTACATCTTCCAGTATTGTCATATGGGCCTTGTTTCTACATATACCATATGCACAGACACAGAAACATATGCATGTGCTGATAAACCAGATCAGAAGGCTATCCTTTCTATCATCAAAGGTTGGTTGTTAGGGAAACGTTTGAGAAAAAGCCGACAGGAAGGATGAAGAGAAAACAAAAGATATGTACGAAAAAAACAGGAAGAAAGTTTTGAATTTTGTTAAATTGTACAGTGCAAGTGTGCATAGTTCCTGTAAAAGGTTACATAAATTCAAACCTGATGGGTTTTCTGTCAGAGTCGGGAAATGGCTGAAACGTCTTCCCCTTGACTAACTACCCTCTAAAAGAGATAAATTCAGATATTTTATCTGGATTAAATAAATAGTTGGTGCTTTAGATTAGGCCACACATTCTTTAGTACATGCACATAACTTTCACTTCAGCTGTGACACAAAATATTAATCAAAACATAGTTATCAGCAAAAACATATTTTTAGAGTTTGATAAAAGCAACAATTTAGGTTCCATGCTCTGAACTGTGTAACTGCAGGAAAGCCGTTACGGAAGAAATATACACAGTCTCCTCAATCAGCCTACAGTCTCCTCCATCAGCCTACAGTCTCCTCCATCAGCCTACACAGTCTCCTCCATCAGCCTACAGTCTCCTCCATCAGCCTACACAGTCTCCTCCATCAGCCTACAGTTTCCTCCATCAGCCTACACAATCTCCTCCATCAGCCTACACAATCTCCTCCATCAGCCTACAGTCTCCTCAATCAGCCTACAGTCTCCTCAATCAGCCTACACAGTCTCCTCCATCAGCCTACAGTCTCCTCCATCAGCCTACAGTCTCCTCCATCAGCCTACAGTCTCTTCCATCAGCCTACAGTCTCCTCCATCAGCCTACAGTCTCCTCCATCAGCCTATAGTCTCCTCCATCAGCCTACAGTCTCCTCCATCAGCCTCCTCCATCAGCCTACAGTCTCCTCCATCAGCCTACAGTCTCCTCCATCAGCCTACAGTCTCCTCCATCAGCCTATAGTCTCCTCCATCAGCCTACAGTCTCCTCCATCAGCCTACACAGTCTCCTCCATCAGCCTACACAGTCTCCTCCATCAGCCTACAGTTTCCTCCATCAGCCTACACAATCTCCTCCATCAGCCTACACAATCTCCTCCATCAGCCTACAGTCTCCTCAATCAGCCTACAGTCTCCTCAATCAGCCTACACAGTCTCCTCCATCAGCCTACAGTCTCCTCCATCAGCCTACAGTCTCCTCCATCAGCCTACAGTCTCTTCCATCAGCCTACAGTCTCCTCCATCAGCCTACAGTCTCCTCCATCAGCCTATAGTCTCCTCCATCAGCCTACAGTCTCCTCCATCAGCCTCCTCCATCAGCCTACAGTCTCCTCCATCAGCCTACAGTCTCCTCCATCAGCCTACAGTCTCCTCCATCAGCCTATAGTCTCCTCCATCAGCCTACAGTCTCCTCCATCAGCCTACACAGTCTCCTCCATCAGCCTATAGTCTCCTCCATCAGCCTACAGTCTCCTCCATCAGCCTACAGTCTCCTCCATCAGCCTACAGTCTCCTCCATCAGCCTACACAGTCTCCTCCATCAGCCTATAGTCTCCTCCACCAGCCTACAGTCTCCTCCATCAGCCTACAGTCTCCTCCATCAGCCTATAGTCTCTTCCATCAGCCTACAGTCAACCCCATCAGCCTACAGTCTCCTCCATCAGCCTACAGTCTCCTCCATCAGCCTACACAGTCTCCTCCATCAGCCTACACAATCTCCTCCATCAGCCTACACAGTCTCCTCCATCAGCCTACACAATCTCCTCCATCAGCCTCCTCCATCAGCCTCCTCCATCAGCCTACAGTCTCCTCCATCAGCCTACAGTCACCTCCATCAGCCTACAGTCTCCTCCATCAGCCTACAGTCTCCTCCATCAGCCTACAGTCTCCTCCATCAGCCTACACAATCTCCTCCATCAGCCTACACAGTCTCCTCCATCAGCCTACACAATCTCCTCCATCAGCCTCCTCCATCAGCCTACAGTCTCCTCCATCAGCCTACAGTCACCTCCATCAGCCTATAGTCTCCTCCATCAGCCTACAGTCTCCTCCATCAGCCTACAGTCTCCTCCATCAGCCTACACAATCTCCTCCATCAGCCTCCTCCATCAGCCTACAGTCTCCTCCATCAGCCTACAGTCTCCTCCATCAGCCTACAGTCTCCTCCATCAGCCTACAGTCTCCTCCATCAGCCTATAGTCTCTTCCATCAGCCTACACAGTCCCCTCCATCAGCCTACAGTCTCCTCCATCAGCCTACAGTCTCCTCCATCAGCCTACAGTCTCCTCCATCAGCCTAGTCTCCTCCATCAGCCTACACAGTCTCCATCAGCCTACACAGTCTCCTCCATCAGCCTATAGTCTCCTCCATCAGCCAACAGTCTCCTCCATCAGCCTACAGTCTCCTCCATCAGCCTACACAGTCTCCATCAGCCTATACAGTCTCCTCCATCAGCCTACAGTCTCCTCCATCAGCCTACAGTCTTCTCCATCAGCCTACAGTCTCCTCCATCAGCCTACACAGTCTCCACAATCAACCTACAGTCTCCTCCATCAGCCTACAGTCTCCTCCATCAGCCTACAGTCTCCTCCATCAACCTACAGTCTCCTCCATCAGCCTCCTCCATCAGCCTACACAATCTCCTCCATCAACCTACAGTCTCCTCCAACAGCCTACAGTCTCCTCCATCAGCCTACACAATCTCCTCCATCAGCCTACACAGTCTCCTCATCCTCCAACTGACTGATGACATTCTATGCAGCATCCATGCAGAAACACCCCATCACAGGCACCAAGGTGGGATGTGAACCCAGTCTTGGATTCCACCGACAACCACTGTCACCACTGGGCTACTGTCTCTCCGTGTATCAATCACAAAACAAATCAACAAACTGCCTTCTAAATCAAGACTCTAAGTGCCCGACAGCATGATGGGAAATAAAGAAGGTGATTTTTTCATTGTTTTTCCCATCTCATCACGGCATCACTTTCTCTATTTACGAACATGATCCCCCACAAAAACTACTTCCCTAAAAACTGGCGTTGCTTGTGCCATTTGCCTAACTAGAGTAATTGATAGTGACAAGGAAAGCAGTACAAGAATTTGTGTCAGACATTTTTGTCACCTCTCAAGGAATCAAGTTTCCCTGAAATAAAAGGGAGGGGCAATGTGTGCCCCTAGACTAGCACACAGTCCCCCAAATTAAGTTATGTACATGGTTGGTAATAGATAAGTGTACAAAGGAACCATCAAGTCTCTTAAGTTCAGGACCTGAAAATGGGATGAGAGCAGGCTGCTGGTGAAGAGATGGATGAGAAAAGGCGGGAGTGAGTGAACCAATGAACATTATTTTAGTACTTATGCCTATGTCATGGGGTCTAATTACTTCTGACGGTCTTATCCAAATGAAATTTTTTTTTAATGTTTATAAAATCTTCTGATCTCCAGTAGTTAATATTTCTCTAAACTTATCTAATCTCATGACTAAACACAGCAGACAACTTGAAGTTATTTGCAAGATTGCCAAACATCCATATGAAGCTTCCCCTCACTCTCCGTCCACACAGCAGCTCATTCAGCAGCTCATTCAGCAGCTCATTCAGCAGCTCATTCTGCAGCTCATTCAGCAGCACATTCAGCAGCTCATTCAGCAGCTCATTCAGCAGCAGCTCATTCAGCAGCTCATTCAGCAACACATTCAGCAGCTCATTCTGCAGCTCATTCAGCAGCACATTCAGCAGCTCATTCAGCAGCAGCTCATTCAGCAGCTCATTCAGCAGCAGCTCATTCAGCAGCTCATTCAGCAGCAGCTCATACAGCAGCTCATTCAGCAGCTCATTCAGCAGCAGCTCATTCAGCAGCTCATTCAGCAGCTCATTCAGCAGCAGCTCATTCAGCAGCTCATTCAGCAGCTCATTCAGCAACACATTCAGCAGCTCATTCAGCAGCTCATTCAGCAGCTCATTCAGCAACACATTCAGCAGCTCATTCAGCAACACATTCAGCAGCTCATTCAGCAGCTCATTCAGCAGCTCATTCAGCAGCAGCTCATTCAGCAGCTCATTCAGCAGCAGCTCATTCAGCAGCTCATTCAGCAACACATTCTTTACATGGACACCATTACAAACATCAGCATATGTGATAGGAACTTCATCAGATCCGCCTGAGACATGGATATATAATTCATGATACATATATATATATCACCCATATGGGGCAGATGTGTCATCTTGGTAGAAAAGATCAAATATTTTTGCACACATTCTACTCAGAGAATCAATCTTGGGGGCACATCATTCTCGGGAGAACACCAATCACTAGGGCACACCAGGCTCACGGGGTACATCATTCTTGGGAGAACACCAACCACTAGGGCACACCAGGCTCAGGGGGCACATCAGACTTGGGGGCACATCATTCTTGGGAGAACACCAACCACTAGGGCACACCAGGCTCAGGGGGCACATTAGACTTGGGGGAACACCAACCACTAGCGCACACTAGGATCACGGGGCACATCATTCTCGGGAGAACACCAATCACTAGGGCACACCAGGCTCAGGGGGCACATCATTCTCGGGAGAACACCAATCACTAGCGCACACTAGGATCAGGGGGCACATCATTCTCGGGAGAACACCAATCACTAGGGCACACCAGGCTCAGGGGGCACATCATTCTCTAGGTATTTAAATCATTTGAAGTGAGTGAGAAAATATGGTCCTATGCTGCTTTCAGAAACATTCCAGTAATATCTTGGCATGGAAAAATACATTTGGTTGGCTATTGTGCCATATTCAAGCTATATGACGGCAGCATGGACATAAAAGAGACTGGATGAGACAAACCAGTGATGGGAGAACATACACTTCACACCATGGACCAGTGTGGAGAATCAAACCCAGACTTATGGCGTAGTGAAACGATGCTTGATCCACTTGGCTACCCCACCCCAGTTCACACCATGGACCAGTGTGGAGAATCAAACCCAGACTTATGGCGTGGTGAACCGATGCTTGAACCACTTGGCTACCCCACCCCAGTTCACACCATGGACCAGCGTGGAGAATCAAACTCAGACTTATGGCCTGGTGAACCGATGCTTGAACCACTTGACTACCCCACCCCCTCAGGCTAGATGAGCAGGATGGAATCAGTTTGTCTAAAACTATCCATCCAAATTGTCTAAAACTACCCATCTAAAACTACCCATCCCAACTGTCTAAAACTACCCATCCCAATTATCTAAAACTACCCATCCCAACTGTCTAAAACTACCAATCCCAACTGTCTAAAACTACCCATCCCAACTGTCTAAAACTACCAATCCCAACTGTCTAAAACTACCCATCCCAACTGTCTAAAACTACCCATCCCAACTGTCTAAAACTACCCATCCCAACTGTCTAAAACTACCCATCCCAACTGTCCCCTGAATACAAGAAATATATGGAAGAAAGTCCAAGGTTCTTGAAGAAGTAAAATATTCTTGAGAAGTAATAAAGTCACCTGCACATCCAATGCTTATCTGACTCGTTGGCAATTGACAGTTTGGGCCCCACTTCTTAACAGCAGAGGGTAATGCCTCTTAATGCATCTCAAGAATGTATTTAATCTACCAACAAGTTCGCCACAGACCCTGTAACAAAACTTCAGCTGTGCTAGCAGTCAACAGTTGTTCCCCCGCGTATATCATCCAAAATTATCAAGAGCAAATTTCAACTCCAAAAACGAACAAATTCTATCGCCATAAAACCAATCGTTAAATACACCAGTAAAAGTCCAGGAATTCATAACCAGCGCAGGGATGCTGGCCTGGAAATCTCAGCTTTGCTTTCCCATAATGCATTGGTTCAGCTGTTTTACATATATTTCATTCACCACCTATATGACATACGCAACCTCAGATACCGTATTCGACGTCATACACGGCGACATTTGCTAATATATTGGCTAGTGAACAATCCCAATTGACACCCCTTCCGATTCATCAATGTACACAAGACTTATTTATTCACGTATAATATGTATTATATGCACCCTTAATTATGGGCATTTAATTCTGGAAAAATATATCTGTCGTACATAAACATTTCAGTCTGTCAGCATACACCACGAAATTTATCTTTCAACTCTGTTTTTTTCACCAAAATAACATTCTAATTAGAGTCCCCTATTTCTAATTTTGAGAGCGCCCTGGGCGCTTATTACGTCGAATACGGTACTCTCTTTGGGCGGAATATTAATAGCATCTCTTGCTTGCTTGCAAACTTCTGCTAATTTCTCAGCATGACAAAAAGCCAACTTTGAAGATCTTCTGGCGGACATGTTTAATTTTCTTCTGCTTTGCGCAAAAATATGCTTTTCAGTTGCTGCTAGTGCTTTCAGACCATTTTCATTAACTCTAAGCTTTACCTCATCAGTGGAGTGTTATCATCTTGGCGTTTTCACTTATATATGAATCTAACATAATGGTGTTATACTAGCTTCCATTCAATAAACATTTACAGATTTTCACAACCAGACCTCAACCTTTCTAATTATCACCAACAAGAAACTATTTTCAATCATATGCGGGGATGAGCAAAAGTGTTATGTTACTATGGTAACCATAAATAAATCTTCAATATGCCCTACCTAACACATGGAATATGCACCCAAGAAATAAATGGAAACTGAATGCCAATGAATGACTCACAGTTGGTTGGTTGTTTAACGCCGCACTCAGCAATATTCCAGCTATATGATGGCGGTCTGTAAATAATCGAGTCTGGACCAGACAATCCAGTGACTGACATCATAAGCATCGATCCACGCAATTGGGATCGATGACATGCATCAACCAAGTCAGCGAGTCTGACCACCCGATCCCGTTAGCTGCCTCTTACGACAAGCAAAGTCGCCTGTTAAGGCAAGCATGGGTTGCTGAAGACCTATTCTACCCCGGAATCTTCACGAGTCTGAAATATAACAAATACCAGGCTGACATCAGAACCCACAGACTTTAAAAGCTGCAAGACTATGCCCCCTCCCTTCAAATTATTGTGACAGTTCTAGACCTTCTCATAGACGGTCTCACCTTTAGGATTCCAGGTTAGAATAGGACCCCGTTAACATATATGCTCTCTGTAAGACACGACTTATTGGATTGGGTGGTCAGACTCGGAGCATGTCATCACACCCTGATGTTGATTAGTTACAGATCACTGTGTAGAAGCTGTTGATACAACGAACAAACAAACAAACAAACAAACAATCTAGACTTGGAATAACCCTAATAAATCCCTCCTTTCCTTAAACACAGTATGGTTCAATGTAGACAGTTGTGTGTTTTTCCAGCGTTTCTATTTTCCAAGGAACTTGTGTTAATCACTGTCATTATCTTTTCAACATGTTTCTCACAAATATATCAGTTTTATCACCCCAATACTAATTAATTTTGGCAGGGTAACAAATTGCTATTTATTCCTGAAATCTTAACCAAATTATTTGCTGTTCAATTTCATGGGCAATTGACGGCTGTGAACTGGTTTTACACTACACTGATACACTCAGCTCCCAGCAGCAGGAGAGCCCCACATGAAATCACTATTGAGCATTTGCTGCCGGGATCAGTTTCCTCTAATTTGGGAATAAAAATTGAAAGTAAGACATATGTAGGTCAACTTCGACTTTCACTCATGAAATACATGCAATAGTCCCTGTGCCTATTCTGTTCAGTCACCATTGAATCACACAATAGTCCCTGTGCCTATTCTGTTCAGTCCCCACTGAATCACACAATAGTCCCTGTGCCTATTCTGTTCAGTCCCCGCTGAATCACACAATAGTCCCTGTGCCTATTCTGTTCAGTCTCCACTGAATCACACAATAGTCCCTGTGCCTATTCTGTTCAGTCTCCACTGAATCACACAATAGTCCCTGTGCCTATTCTGTTCAGTCTCCACTGAATCACACAATAGTCCCTGTGCCTATTCTGTTCAGTCCCCGCTGAATCACACAATAGTCCCTGTGCCTATTCTGTTCAGTCTCCACTGAATCACACAATAGTCCCTGTGCCTATTCTGTTCAGTCCCCACTGAATCACACAATAGTCCCTGTGCCTATTCTGTTCAGTCCCCGCTGAATCACACAATAGTCCCTGTGCCTATTCTGTTCAGTCTCCACTGAATCACACAATAGTCCCTGTGCCTATTCTGTTCAGTCCCCGCTGAATCACACAATAGTCCCTGTGCCTATTCTGTTCAGTCCCCGCTGAATGACACAATAGTCCCTGTGCCTATTCTGTTCAGTCTCCACTGAATCACACAATAGTCCCTGTGCCTATTCTGTTCAGTCTCCACTGAATCACACAATAGTCCCTGTGCCTATTCTGTTCAGTCCCCACTGAATCACACAATAGTCCCTCAGCCTATTCTGTTCAGTCTCCACTGAATCACACAATAGTCCCTGTGCCTATTCTGTTCAGTCCCCACTGAATCACACAATAGTCCCTCAGCCTATTGTGTTCAGTCTCCACTGAATCACACAATAGTCCCTGTGCCTATTCTGTTCAGTCTCCACTGAATCACACAATAGTCCCTGTGCCTATTCTGTTCAGTCTCCACTGAATCACACAATGTGTGAAGCCCATTTCTGATGTCACCTGCTGTGAGTTTGCTGGAATATTGCTAAAAGCGATGGAAAACCAAGACCATGTGGGTGAGTGAGTGAGTGAGTGAGTGAGTGAGTGAGTGAGTGAGTGAGCAAGTTCTTTTTAAAGCTGCTTTAAACAATATGAAAGTTTTATCAAGGGGTGTCAGTTTCATGTGGGAGGAAAGCCGGAGTGATAAAGATCTTGGATATTACCACTCTGGTAAAACCCACAAGCACAGGTATGGGTCCCTGAGGAATTAGGCAGTACTACGTACACTGGGTCATTATCTGTGTTTCCATATAGCCTGTAATAACAAAGCAATCACACAACGTCTGATAGACTACGTCAGGCTCGCTGACTTGGTTTATGCATGTCATCGAATCTCAATTGCGTGGATCGATGCTCATGATGTCAATCACTGGATTGTCTGGTCCAGACTCGATTATTTACAGACTGCAATCATATACCGTATTTTCTTGAGTATAGTGCGCACCCGTGTATAATGCGCACCCCCCTCTAGCGGGTTC